CGCCGCCAGAGGCCGCCCTGGGGCCACCACTGCCGCTTGTAACCCGGGCGGGAGGAGCCGGGGTTCGAGGAGGGGGGGAATGAGTCATGAAAGAACTTGCAAAGCAACAGGGAAGCTCCGTGGCAGCAGAACTGGCTTCTGACCCATGTCCCTGCTTCTCTGCCGCAGACTGAACACCAAAAAACTGTAAGGACGTGTTCAGGTTAATGTGAAATATCTTTCTGTTGTTGGTAACCACACGTTATTTTTAATTAATATTCTTGTTCCTTTGTCTGGCCTACTTCATAATTGAAACAGTGGAAAACGTGTTCAGTTTTTGCCCATGGTTTTCTGCATCTTTAGTGTCATTCTTCTGAAGTCTGCTTACTGCTGGTGTTAAGTAGCTTTGCTGGCAAACTCAGTTCAACATAGGGGGTTTTTGTATTGCTGTAGTATCTAGTTTGTGTTCTGTTTGGCTAGTGCAACATTGGCATTGACATGTTCCTGTGCAGAACATGACTTGTTTTTTTACCAAGTAGCCATGCTAGTGCTAGCTTAATGGTTGAATGTCACTCACTCTTAAATAACCCTGTTAGTGATGTTAACTGGAATACACAAAGGGAGGCATTTCTTTGAGAGAAAACACTATTCCACAAACTGTTTTTTAGGGTGAAATTGTGTTATGGTGGCACAGACGTGTCTCATAATCTTTGGATGGGTAACTTTTAGCAAGAAAACAGAATCAAAGTATAAAAAGGATTGGTGGCATTCAGAGGCTTTGCCCAAGCCCTGTTTTTTAGGGTGAAATGTAAAACTGACTTTCCTAGTTGATTATAGTCCTAAAGCTGTTTATCAGAACAGGAGTATTTAGCAATGGATTCTTAATCAGCTCTAAATTTTTGTTCTAGTCATCCTTAAAAAAAGACACAGTATCAGTACAATATATATTTATTTATTTTTATTTAGAATGATTATACACACTTATGCAGTCAAATATCTTAAAGATTTAGCAAACTAAGTAGATGATTTGTGCACTTTTATAACAGAACTGTTTTGGATGAATGTTAGTGAAGCTGGAGTGATTTTACTTTGTTAATGTACAAACCCAACAAATTGTAAAAACTTCATTCCATGCTGATGGAATGAGGTGTGGAAGAATGTCTTTTTCCCCACTACAGTTCTCTCCAGTCTTTTAGGTTACAACTCCTTACTGTAATATCCAAATAACTTTTCTTTTCAGAATCCAATTCTGAGTTTTGAACTACCAATGAACTTAACAGACTGGTTTCCACGCCCAAGAATGAAAACCAAAAGAGAAGAAATAAGGAAAATAATCCTGAAGCTGCAGGAACAGCAAAACAAAGAAAAGAAGGGACAAAAGGACCCAAGTCTGATGGAAAGATCTTTGCAGGAAAAAACAGAACAACTTCTCAACAGCAGCTCAGACTGAATGTTGTATCTGTTGCATGTTAGCTCTACAATCAGAACTGAAATATACATTTTTGTCTGCCCAGACTAAAGATTTGGCATATTCTCTGCTCAAAGTTACTTGGGAATGTTTAATGCCTGTATAAATGTGTGTCATAAAATGATTTAATTCCCACAAAGATGTGTATTAAGTAAGCAAGTCTGTACATATGTTAATGAGGCCAACTTTTTCAGCATTTGTAATTACTTTTTTCCACTTGTTAGGGAGCTTTTGTTATGTATTTCTGTTAATAGAACTTAAATAGCAACTTCTAAACATAAAGCAAATAAAGAAAATATTTATAGGATAAAATGGTTAACTTTTTCTTTTTCAGTAAAGTTACAATGTTACAGGCTTAAGTAACACATAGGAAATTATTTGGTAGTGAGGTAATTAATTCATATTTTGACCCTACTTAGTTGCCCTTTACAAGATTATTCTGCTTGTGCTACAAACGACAATATTGGTGTCTCAATGTACCACGGCCTCAGAGAGGGTGATTCCCATCCTCCCAGTATCTAAGTGTAGGCAGTGTAATAGTTAATAGGACTGCTTCAGATTTGGGATTTTAAAAGATACGCATTGCTACTGAAATCCCACCCATGCTTTCTTTAGTGGGATGGGCTAGGGAAAGGGAGAGAATGCTCTTTGACAAAAACAAACAGTATTATAAAAGTGGTTTCAATGAAGTGATCTTGAGTGATACTATTAAATCATATTTTGTGGATCCCAGTTGTTGTACAGGTGTATTTTGAGACTTTCTTCATTATAAAATTGTATTTTGGTAAGTGTACTTGGAATAGCAGATTGCCCACATTACATTTTCTATGTTACAATTCTGAATGTTACATTCATATGTGCTTTATCTAAGTAATGAACATTTAAAAAGAAAAAAGTGTATGATTACTATTTTTTGTAATATCCATGCAAAAAAACCAAAATACCAGTGTTCATTGCTTGCTTGTTTGTTCTTGGCTTTAGGTAGCATCAGACTAATGTTGGGAATGTTGTTTTTTTTTAATATTTCCAGTGTATCTTGATTTTGCAACAATCTAAATTGCCATTGTTGCTTAAACTGCGAACATGGCCTTTTATCCTTGTTATAGAAAGGTTTTGTTATTCAAGTGAGGAAAGTAAGAAATAGTTTGTTTAAGGAGATATATATATATATATATATATAGTCTTCTACTAATACAGGAAATCTTTGAAGGGAACCCGAAACGGTCTCTTCCCAGGAAGGAATCTTACAGGAGAGGAGAAGGACCTTATATCCCTCCTTGCAGATAGTATTTTCTCTCTTAATGTTTCTACTGGGAATGCTAATTTCTGATTCCCTTCTCCCAATGAGAAGAAATGGAGCATTCATTGGCTGAACTCCCCCAAAATCAGTATTCATACACAAGATTAAATCTAACCTAGTACTTCAGGTTCTCCATGAGTTTTCACTCTCATAAAACCCTGAGAACATGGCTGCTAATGACGTTACTGCCAGGGCATTCCTCCCCAGATAGCCTATCCCTGAACCAAAATACCAGTGTTCATTGCTTGCTTGTTTGTTCTTGGCTTTAGGTAGCATCAGACTAATGTTGGGAATGTTGTTTTTTTTTAATATTTCCAGTGTATCTTGATTTTGCAACAATCTAAATTGCCATTGTTGCTTAAACTGCGAACATGGCCTTTTATCCTTGTTATAGAAAGGTTTTGTTATTCAAGTGAGGAAAGTAAGAAATAGTTTGTTTAAGGAGATATATATATATATATATAGTCTTCTACTAATACAGGAAATCTTTGAAGGGAACCCGAAACGGTCTCTTCCCAGGAAGGAATCTTACAGGAGAGGAGAAGGACCTTATATCCCTCCTTGCAGATAGTATTTTCTCTCTTAATGTTTCTACTGGGAATGCTAATTTCTGATTCCCTTCTCCCAATGAGAAGAAATGGAGCATTCATTGGCTGAACTCCCCCAAAATCAGTATTCATACACAAGATTAAATCTAACCTAGTACTTCAGGTTCTCCATGAGTTTTCACTCTCATAAAACCCTGAGAACATGGCTGCTAATGACGTTACTGCCAGGGGATTCCTGCACAGATAGACTATCTCTGTGAAACCCTCTGTTTAGAAGGGGGTTCACTCTCCAAGGCAAGAGTGATTGCACATAGAGCAATACAACCATGGGCTGCTAATCTTTTGCACAAAGAACCTGTGCGATTTAGGGGAGTTACTCATTTCCCTTATCTCTTTTCTTCTTGTGTAGACCCTGAGCACCATGGAGAACATGTAAGCATCACCTTATGTTAGAGATGACTCCTACACAAGATTCTTGATGAAAGTATATGGGGGCAATCTTCTGGACTACTGATTCCATACACAGTGTGCACACTTCCAAAGTTATTTCCTCCATCAAATGTATCCAGTATTTTGCTGTTGTTGGGGGGAAAATTGTCTGCCTGCTTGGTCTTGTGTATCTGGCCTTAGTGCAACTGACATACTGGAATGGTAGAGTATACAAATGCAAGTAAATCAGTGGTGGCTTGTAGAGGAGGAAGGAAAGTAAATTATTGGAAACAGAGAAGAGACAAGGTCAAATAGAATGTGTTCCTTCCCTGACTAGTCTTTCCTAATGGTGTGTTCTAATTATATTAAATACATCCAAATTTGGTCAATATCATAGTTAGTTTTCCTTTTTCTAACATTTGTGATGCAGGTTCATAATTTGATGCTGTAGAACTATTAGGTTTTCTTGCTAGGAATGGCCTGGTGCTTCCTCCTTTTCCTTCCTCTTTTCTGTCCTCCCTTTCTTCCTCCCTCCCCTTTTTCAAAGCTGTGAAGAAAGTGTTTGATTTATTATCATTTAATGTTAAACTTCTCAAGATCTTCAGTCATATACAGCAAGCTAATATACATGTTAAATATAGGAAACTTATTTTTTTAATAAAATGTGATGTTAATAGAAAAAAACACAGAATTAAGGATGAGTTATTTAAAACCTCACTGACTTGGTTTAAAAAGTTCACTACTGCATGTGCTTGTTAGGGATTTGTTCTGAACATCATGGTGAGCTACACTGCAGTATTTGCAATCTTAACAAAAAAGCTTGACCAGTGAATTTTCTGGCTCAGATTTATTTAGTGGAAGTTAATGGGGTGGGGACCAGATGTGTTTGTTCAATAATTATATGATTGCACATACACTCTGAGGGAAGTATAAATTATATATTCCTTTATAAGATTCAACATTACCAGTGCTTTAAGAGTAGCATAACTGCGTTCTGCAGTGTAAGCTATCAGGTGGCTACCTAATGAAATGTATCTGGCTGTATTGTTTTTCACGCCAGGTAGAATATCAGTTAAGAATTCTTGTAAAAGTTTTAGATTACTTAGCATAAAAAATGCATGTACTTCTGGTGCACGTTTGCAGGATAGCTGCAAAAGCAGAAGAGACATCTAAGTAGTCCCTTGTGACGTTCCTATTTTTCTTGCTTAAGAAACTGAGCAGACCCTTTAAAGATTAGAGACTTCAAACAGAAGAATTGTGTTGATGATTTTTGAGGTTGCACAGCAGCCTTGTCTTGGAAAAATGTAAATTCCAAAACATTCAGGAAAGAACAAGTTAAAAAATCAGGCAGACTTTTCACCATGGTGAGAAAACCATGCTGATGATTTTTTTTCATGCATTGCATAACAAATGAGTAAAGCATAGCAAGAAGTTTTTGCATGTATGATTTTTAATTCCTATTAACATAGTTTCTCTAGAAATTGGAGTGACCTACTAGATTTTTCTGATGAAAAAATGGCAGCAGTTCCCTTAGTTCACCAATCCACTCTGACTCTTTACTCAGATTTTAAAGTAGAATGTATTTTCAGTCACTGGTTAAAGCTTTGCATTGCCCTTCATGGATAACCTGATGATTGTGTTTCAGCATGTGAACAGAAGTAGCTATAAAGCTGCTTGTTCTTTGGAGCCCTTGGTCTTGGGACCACGATGATGAAAGGTACCGGAGTCTGAATACTAGATTTTTTATTATTTTGGTATGACGCTTTTTATAACAGTCTGTCTTCTACATATTCAGTACCCCTAAAGAACCTCTGCAATGACTTGGGTTCACAAAGGTGCTTCATTTCCCTGAGTCCTTTGACTCTTTCCATCTACTTCTGAAATCAAAGAGGAGCTGATGTTACCAACTACAACTTGGAGATTTTAAGAGTCAGAGAGCAGCCATTTTACATATCTTTCACCACTGTATATTTTAAACCAAATCCTTTCTACTTCAGTCAGTCATGCCTGCTCCAAAATGTGACAAACGATGTCTGGTTTGTAGACTCCAGTCTGGTTAAGTGAGGATGTAATCTGGAAAGTGGCTGTTCTCTCTGTTGTGGTCTGTTGTATTTTCTGACAGGCTAGATTTTGCTTACTTTTAACAAATTTGCATGTGAACTTATGCAAACCTGTGGTTACAAAAGGAAACTTGGTAATGTGCACCCTACCTTAGGGAGTCTTTATTCAGTTGTGTTAGTAATTGCTAGCTGCAACCTAGATGCAAACAGCCAGGCTGTTTCTTTGCTAGGTCTTTTTTTGTTGTTGATTGGTTGGTTCTGTTTGTTGTTTGCTTTTCTTTTTTTTTTTTTTTTTTTGGGGTGGGGGTGGTATTTTGGTTTGGGTTTTTTTGGCAGACTGATAGTTTACGTTCTTGGGGGAGAACAAATGATGCTATTTGTCTTGCATGGTGCTTAAAAGTATGCACGAGCTATGTTCATCTGTGAATATAGATATGAACAGAAGGTTATCTGGATTAAAAAGTATCCAAATTCTAGTAAAGAAGAAAGAGGCCATATTGCTACATATTGCTACATATTGCTACATATTTTGTTTGGTTTTGTGATCACATGCTCTCAAGTTTTTTGGGATATGACTTCACCCAAAACAATAATCAGTATTCAATGGTAACTAGTTCAAGACAGGGAGGAAAGATGACTCTAGCTATTTTTTAAATAAAGGATTCTAGCATATGAGAAAAACAACAGCAACAAAAAACACTGGCTGTACTTTATAAGTAGATGGTTTATCTTAATGAAATAGTAAAATGCACATAGTATATATGTCAGTTTGTGCAATATCATAGGTTTAGATTATATTTACAAATTGCATCTTGAGGATCAGATTGTCTTTTACTGTGAGCTGATGGAATACTTTTAAGGTTACTGGGAGCCAGGTTGTTTCAGCTGAGTATTTGCTCCCCTGGGAACTGTGAGGAGTCTGCATAAGGAGCAAGGACCCTGCTCTGACCAGCCTGAGCTTCTTGTGTTCAGTAT